GGGCCGCAGCTCTGGGTGCGGGGATGGGCGCTCCGGGGCCGCTGCTCCCGCGGGCTGCGCTCCTCGCAGGTTCGGGATGCAGGTGCGCGTGAAGCCTTCTGCCTGCTGCGCCTGCACCGACACACTACAACTGAGAAGCTGCTGGTCTGTTCTGTTTTTCGGTTGCGGTTTTATTTTTAATAAATGCCCGGAGACGTCTCTGATGGGAAGGCTGAAACATCGCTGGGTTTTGGGGGTGTCTTGTCTGAGTTTTTAACAGTACAGAATGACTGCTTTGATTCTGCTCGCACATCTGTGATAATAAAAAGCCTTTTGGTGAGAGCAGCGTAGATAAAAAGCAATTACAAAAGCTGCCGTAATAAAGATACGATGTTGTGAATTCCGCTCCTGGAGCGTGTGTGAAGGTGCTGTGCCAAAGAAACCACAGATGCCTGTGCCTAGGGTTCACGCGACAGACCAAACTTCCGTAGGTAGTGCTGCCTTAAGAATGGGCAGAACTGGTGTGGGGAGAGACTTCTCGCTGCTGTTTAAAGCTTCTAAAGTATTGTGTTTGGATAATGTCCATAAAAGCTACTAGATCGTAAACTTTCAACTTCAGCTTGATAAACGTTGATACAAGCACAGGGGTGTATCTGCCGGCTGTGGCACTGGCTGTCAGTTCTCGCCCTTTGAACAAACCAGCCCTCTTCTAGGGAGGCTTAGACACTGTTACAGTCACCATCCAGGTTCCAGATTTGCAGAGGAAATCTGTTTGACTGGAAGTCTGAAGCTCTTTACTACTTGTCCAAGACCCCACATGGGGTGGCTTTCGGGATGGGGCTGGATTTCTTCTCCTGTCCTTCGCTATCAGTTTTTATTTCTACGTATAGTCTAATTAAACTGCCTGCTTCCTTGACTGTGCTGTTTTTATCTCTGGCTGCAGGTGACACTGAACATCTCCAGTGTTTCCGCTGTTCGATAGTGATACCGGTGTGTTCAGTTATGCGATGTCTCATAGTTTTAGACTGTAGCTGACTTACTGGCGCTGCTGTTGCTCTGCCTCACTGGTTTGATGACCTGGCTATAACTTTCTTGGTGTTTGAGGTACCAGAGGCTTTCCATTTATTTACAGTAATAATTAGAACTGTATTTCCTTTGGGATTGTCAGGCATTACCATAAGATCACTGTCTAACCTCACTTAATACAGAGGTTACTCTCATAGTAGTGGGACTGCTGTGTGCAGTGCATACAGCAATGGTCAGAATAGCTTTTATGCTGAAAATAGAGCAGTGTTCACTGGAACTTCCAAGATGGAGAGTGTAGTTGTGTGTCTGCTCTTGGGGAGTATCTCTGAGCAGGACGGCACTCTGAATTCAAACTAGTGCATGTCTGAGGTGTTTAAACTAGATCTGAAATTTAAAGTGCTTAAAATAAGACACCTTTAACAGCCAAAAATGAACTTATAGGGGAGTATTCCCCACAGCTTGGTGGTGTGAAATTCTTGTTTAGTTTCAGCCTGGAATTGCTGGTCCCACCAGAGCGAAGATCCATGTGACCAGTATGTTCGTCGACACCACTTTACTAACTGCCGTGCTTGAAAGCTTAGTGATGGAGAAAGCTGCTGCAGGCTTAACTCCTGAGGCTTCCAGAAAAGCTTATTCAATGGGCAGTTTCAGTTGACTTACCAAAACAAGCAATGCCACTTTTCTTTTCCTGGTTCCCTTAGCTGTAACATAAAAACGAGGGCACTGGCTGTTTGTAAAGGCTAACAGCAGCACTGTGGAAACTTGTATTTCAGGTCCCAAGACAACTGTATGGTGTTAGTATTGAGCAATCGGCTCGCTCTTTGCTCCGTGAGTAACTCTGTTCGTTACACCGGGCGGTTGGAAGGGCGGCCGTCGCTGCCGGAGAGCTCTGGGCCCAGACTAGGAATGGTACAGTTAATGCTGCACTCAGGCTAAATAACGAAGCTGCACGTGCTTATCGTTACACTGATGTACGAGGGAAGCATGACGCGGCTTTTCTCTTTAACCTCCTGTACTGTAAGGGGATAAAGAGGGAATACAGGTTTGACCGCGTGGCTGACAAACTTTGTTAGCACAAAGCCCTGTGCTGCGGGAGACCGAAGCTTTGTTCCTGTGTCTTCTGGTCAGATGTTGCCTTCAGCACGTTGTGATCTGCCCGGCGAGCCGGGTAACGTGGCCCTTGGAGCTGCGTGTGCATTGTTGGCTTGAAATGGTTCTTGGAGTCGGGCAGCTTAATCTTGTCTTGACAGCCGAATTTCACAGCTGGACCCCCAAGATTTCTAACTATGCTTTCTCTCAACCTTTAGCCTTTTACTGGTTGATTTATGTTAAAACCACTGCCCCTCCCACACCTGACAAGAAAAAACCTTCTTAATTTCTAGCTCTGAGTAGTTAACTGTAAGACTAGCTAAAGATAGCTGAAGACATGGATGTGATGATTTGGATCTTTTCATTTTGGCCAGAAAGCTAACTGCTTTACTTCTTACCTCTAAACGTCCGTAGTGCTTGTACAAGCTTTCAGTTGTGTTCTGCTTTGCTTCTGTATTGTGTATCCCAAATCGGGCAAGTGCTCTTTAATGAGAGTCGTAAACGAGTGTGCAAAACACTTAAACATCATCCTCTTCCCCTGCGTGGTGCTGCCTAAAGTGTTGGGGGTTACTGATGTACTTAATTACAGACATTCTGAAATAGGCACTCCTTTTAATAGATTTGTTAGAGTACCTTTAAAAATGAACTGTTGCTAAAATGAAGCTTGAGTTCTGGAAGTTTCCTTAATCCAAGGCTCTCTTTGCACAACAACTACACGTACTGTGTTTTTCATTGTATAGTTAAGTCTTGTAAGCCAAAAGACGGGGTGTTGCTGTTGGTCAGTCTGCTGGGGACAGACAGCTTTAGCAGATGCGACGGCTTTGTTCTTTGGGGTGACTATGCTACGACTGCGGAACTCTAATCTTTTCTTTATTGTTGCTGCAGAAACTCCAGATGAAAATGGCAAAACCCAACGAGCTGACAGTCTCCTCATGAAGAAGATAAAGAAAAAAAAGAAAAAGAAACACCGGGAAGATATGAGGGGAAAACGGCTGAAGATGTACAATAAGGAAGTGCAGACGGTGTGTGCTGGACTCACTCGCATCGACAAAGAGGCTCTGTCTCAAGGGCAGTGTGATAACTTAGAAATGAACAAGGAATCCTTCCGGTATCTGAAGGATGAGCAGCTCTGCAGACTGAATTTGGGTATGCAGGAATATCGAATACCCCAGGGAGTACAAACACCGTTTGTGACACATCAGGAGCATTCTGTTCGCAGCAGCTTCCTGAAAACTGGCACTAAATTTAGTAACTTCATTCACGAAGAACATCAGTCCAATGGGGGTGCTCTGGTCCTTCACGCTTACATGGATGAACTCTCATTTTTGTCTCCAGTGGAGATGGAGAGATTTGCGGAGGAGTTTCTTGCGTTGTCATTCAGTGAAAACGATAAAAACGCAGCTTACTATGCTTTAGCCATAGTGCATGGGGCAGCTGCTTACTTACCAGACTTCCTGGATTACTTTGCTTTTAACTTTCCTAACACTCCAGTGAAAATGGAAATTTTGGGCAAGAAGGACATTGAAACAACAACAATCTCAAATTTTCACTCTCAGGTAAGAACTGTTTAAAGGGGTAAAAGCTGTACACCACCTGGATTTGATGAGTCTCATTGATCCAGAGCAGGGATGGCCTAGGATAGGTGAGGCGCAGATTTTTCTCTGAGCAGGTGAAAAAAGATGCTGTTGGGACTGCTGCTGCCGTGCTGGTTATTCCTGTTTCTGCTTAAAGCTCTTGAGCGCGCCGGTAGCTGGTGAGACGCGGTTCTGACGCTGTGGACCGTGGCCTGTAGGCAGGCCTGCACTGATCTTGCAGGCTTTTAGTTGGCCTGCTAAACCTGGGAGAACGCTGGGCTGCTGCAAAGCAGGCAAGTCTGGGAGAGTCTTGCAGGTTGCAAGTACTAACGCTGTTTTGTCTGTTCGACAGATCTGTGGGGGTTTTTGCAGTGAGGTTGCTTTTCAGGTTTTCGTATATCATTCACAACAGAAGTTTTCTCACGTGTTAATTTTGCCAGTAGCTGCTGGGTGTTTAAACTTTCCAACTTCAGAGCTGGTTAGAGTATCTTTTTAATTGCCTCTGGAAATGCTTTCATTTTACATACTGCCCTGCTTTCCACTGTAGGCTTAAGCTATCTTAAATTCTCAAACTGTATCTCCCTTTGTCTGAAAAGGATGCAGCAGCAATAACTAAGCTAATTTCAAGATTCCCATCTGAAAAAGTCCTTGCATCTGACTCTCGGGATCAAGCTTAGAAGCATTGTTGAACGTACAGCAACATCAGGGTTTAGATTTGTTCCTGATGGAATAAAACCTCGTGTTCTGGTCTGAGGACAGGTACAAACTGCTGATTACTCTTCAAGTCTTTAGTCAAAGACCTTCGCTACTCCTGCTGCTTCACCTGCTGGAAGGAAAAACCTGGAACTGTAGTTGGGTGCAGGTCAGTGCTGTTGAACAGACCTTTAGCAGCAGACTGAAATGGTGATGCTTGTGCTTGGGGTAGCCGGGTCTTCCCAGACTTCACCAAACGCTTACAGGTGAGGCTGGCACGGGAGAAACACTTCCAGTGTTACCTGAGTTACTCTGGTCACCTGGGGAGCCCTTGAACCAGCATTTGGCATCGATACTGTTAAATTGGTGATCCTGACAGCTCGTGAATTTATCTGACAGTGAATAGCTGCTCCGGCACTTACTTCTTGGTAATTTCCGGCTTCTGTTTCCTGGTTTAAGTAGCTCTTTCTGCTGAGGGAGTTGCGTCGGAGCGCGCGGAACTCCAGAGTCAGTCTGCGTGAGGCGCGCACAGACCGCTGCGGTCGGCGAGAGCGCCTTCGCGCAGTGTGCGCCTCTGCTCCACGGATGTGGGACTTGTGCACAGGTTGGGTTTTAGTCTTCTCTACTAGGGGTTTTACCTGTGTTCTTTGGCATGATGATTACATGCTGATAACTTCTTTGAGTACATGCCATGACCCCCTAAAATGGCTAAAGAGCCCAGACGGCTGTTTAACAGTTACCCCTTCTCGGTGCGTGTCTGTCTTGTGACACGAATAGCCTGCAAATACGTGTGAGGAAGGTGTGGTAGTAAGAGGCTTCACTGGGTTACAGTCGGTGCTGGTATTTCAATTAATTCTATTTTATGTGCTGTCTAAACTTGATTAAGATTGAGTCATGACAAAGGTTCAGCTGGTGTGGAATGCCTGGTTCACCATGACCCAGTTAATCCTCTCTGGCTGAAGTATGTTAGTGCACTTCCTGTGCAGGGCAGACAGAAATACCGTCTCGAGCGGAACCCTTCAGAGAAGGGAGGTGATGGTGAAGTACCCAGCGTATGGGTGCGCTTGAAGTGGTGGGTTCAACTATGGTGTCTGCATGCTGTGAAAATTCAGGGTTTGCAAGCTAGCTCACCTTTAAGGAGAGAGCGCTGAAATGCCAGGCTGGAGCAGAGGGGGGCAAGTCTGGTTCTGACACCGCTGTTCTTGACAGCCCTCTTGAGGAATGAGCAGATTGGCCAGGCTTCGCTTTGGACCATCCTGTGGGAGACGTTGTACAATACAAACACGCTTGCTCGTTGCGCCCTTGCCGCTGAAGCATGTTACGCTGCTGTTGTGTGCTGTTCTTGGTGCCCAGTTAAGTCACCTCCCTTGTCGGCTGAACCTTCCGTAGGCCTGAACAGTTTGCTCTATGACTGTGCGGTGGCCAGGGGATTTCGAGCGTTAGGTAGCCTGGAGTCCTGGAGACTCGGTGTCAGGAAATCAGAATGTGATCTGTTAACTGAAAGTTAATGTGACCTTTGGCTTGTACGGCGTTTGGCTGTTTGTGTAGCTTTCTCAGACAAACTGAGTTTCAGGGAGGATGTGAATCTACCGCAAACTACGGGCTTCAGTCTGGAAGATCCATGAAAGTCTAGTGATAATTAACTCCGGCTGTTTGTGTAGCTTCTCAGACAAACTGAGTTTCAGTGAGGATGTGAATCCACCGCAAAGTACTGGCTTCAGTCTGGAAGATTCATGAAAGTCTAGTGATAATTAACTCCCTTGAAAGGTGAATTCTTTGTTCTCGGGGCAGTGAGGACCATGTAAACGGAACCTTTGTAACAAAGCACTCCAACGTGTATTTGTAGTAGAACTCTTTGGTTTCTCTATATAAAAACAATTAAGGTTCAGTGCTCTCTGGATTTTTTGCTTGCAGGCAGGCTCTGGCTCGTTTGGTCTAGTACTTGAGTGTTAAAGCTAAGCCCTAGTTTGGAGCCATTCTCTTGGACTAAGAGCCTCTGAGACTCAAGTCACTGCACAGTAGTAGTTGGTACGCTTCCTTTGTTCACGGACATGCTTCCGTTTGGAAGCGCTTAGTGGAGCAGCGAGAATGAACTCCTATTTTCCCTCTCTGTTCCAGTGCTACTGCTTCTAGGGCTACCTGGTGAATTGGGGTCCGTCTAGACGTGAAAAACTACTTCTGCTTTTTTCCAAGAAGCTCCAGCAGGCCAGGTGGGTTCTCTGTATGGTCCAGAGAACAGCTGAACGGTCAGAGGAGTGGGATTTCTGGGAACAGGAGAGGAAAGAGGTTGGGGAAGTAGGTTTTGCATAAGCTGCTACTGCTTCTGGGAAGGAGCTGGGAGAAGCAGCCAACGGGTGATAATAGGGTAAGTTTTCTGACTGTCAGAAAAGGTTATGGTGTTCCTGACAGGTTTGGTTAAGGAGCCGTGTTGCAGTTGCACTATCTGCCCGTCTTAACTCTTCTTACTTCTGGAAAAAGGTCCCCCCTGGAAGGGCACTTCCCATTTAGCAGAAGCTGTCCAAGTACGGAAAGCAGAAATTGTGCATCGGTACTGCAGGCTTTGCTTTACCGCTTAAGCCAGATAAATGATGCCCAACTGCCTTACTGAAGCATCTGTCAGGCTTTAGTGCACCACCACTGTGCTGTAGTGGCATGTCACAGCCCTTGCTTTGTTGTAACCGGCGAGCTGCCTTGTGTTCCAGCTTGGCTCCTCGTAGCAAGCGTGGCTGGCTTCGCAGCTCACTTGCCATACTAAAATATTGTCCCAACTGATTCATGCTTTTCTTGAAACCGGAGCGAATATTCTGAAACTTAACCTCCTTTGTCTCAAGCTTGTGCCTCACCTGCGTGTCCCCTTGCCCTGCAGAGGTGCTCCTTGCCTCACCCTTCACGAGGCAGGGGTCTGAATCACCCCGGGGATGTGCAAACACACATCTGCAACTTCCACAGGAAACGCTGGTGCTGTCTGCTTCTGTTCTCACTCAAGCATGTGAAACGCTGATAAGCACCTCATTCAGCTGCTCTGAAACGTCCCCATGAACACCAAGAGCTGTTCTTAAATAGCCTGTAACTTCACTTGCAGCGTGGTACTGCGTGGAGTAGGGGATGCACGGGGTGGTGAGAGCTGCTTGGCCTTTTGAAAGGGCATGGGGCGCCCGAGTGGTCTTACAGGCTCAGTGGTCCTTTTACAGCAGGAAGGACCACGGGTGATCTGATCTGTAGACAGTGGCAGTTAGTGCTCGGGTGATCTGATCTGTAGACAGTGGCAGTTAGTGCTCATGTGACCCACGAGTGTTTTTGGAGAGGTGTAGTGAATGAGTTGTAGCCATGAAGGTGCTGTGGTAGTAAGTTATTAACATCTGACAGCTGTGTAAACGGGAATGACCTGGTCTGAGTTCCTAAACAAGCACTGAACCTCAAACAAAAACAAGAAACTGAAAAAGGTCCTAGTGGATATAACAAGGTGACTCAGGGATTTCATAGTCTTGCCTTCCTGAAAAGGGGGTGTGCGAAGTTAGCCCCGATGTTCATGTAGCGTTAAGAGCGCACCTAGAGCGCTTGGCCAAGAAAAGGCCAAGCAGTTGGCGAGAAGATGCAGCAGGGAGGTTCCTGAGTCTTCCTCTGTGCTTGGGTGGTTTAGTGGCCCCTGAGCACAGTGCCTGTTCTTTTAGATGGTCGTGAACACGCTCGTTACCACACACAAAGTGTTGGCATACTCTGTATTCTTGAGACCACTAACCTAACCAGTGGTACTGGTATTTGTGCTGCTCTGCAGAAATTAAGGAAGAGGTAGAAATGGGGTGTGAAGGAAGTCCTTGCTGCATATTGAACTACTTCCTGTGGGGTTGAGGCGCTTGAGATGACTGCTACAGCCTGCTGGGGATTGCCGTGAGTTAGTCTGTATTTTCAGTGTAAATACCTCCTGGTTTGACTTCTCACGTGTATATATTTATTTAAGTTCTATTAAAAACTAGTAAAACATGGAAATCCAAGATTTCCTTTGTACTTCTCATGTTTCCTTTGTAGCTGTTGAATTTTTTTCCGTTGAATTCCAATGCATTAAAAAATGTTAAATCTCCTAGGTTAGCGTTGCCTTTGAAAACACAAGGAAGAGCTGCATATGGTATCCCAGTCCATTTTAACTCGTGGCAAGCCCCTGTGAAGTACTAGTGGATCTCGGCAGGTGGTGTCAGGAGAACAAACCTCACCTGGAACTCGCTGGAATAGCACCAGGCAGTTGAAGCAGCTGGCATTTCAGCTCCGGGTTCTCCCCTGGGTGCCCAGAACCAGACCGGTGCTGCAGGTTTCCAGTGGGCAGCAGGCGAGAGAGTTCCCCTTCGCTGGTGCTGGATGTGAACTCCTACAGTAACGTTGTACTAGGATTTGGAGGCTTCACTTTCTGCGCGGGCAGCAGCCGGGAGGAGGTAACAGCCTCTGAAGACAGCGCCTGGTTCGCAGTCTGTGTGGTCAAACCCCGAAGGGTCAGCATGTGCTCATCCCACTGCTGGTCCGAGGGGCGTGAAGGCAGGGTGAGCTGCACAGTGACCTCCGAGAGCGAGGTAGGGTGTAAACTCGTACACAGCAGGTAGAGGTGATGCGGTGCAGCAGCTGGTTTAGGTGGGAGGAGTAAAGCTGTACGCAAAGTCATCTTTGGCTCCTGCTTAGCTTGTGCAGTCAGTGCAGAACTGCCAACTGCGTGTGCACATGGCTGAAGGAGGGAGGACTCACAGGAGTGAGCTGAACTCTGTAATTAAGAAGCTAAGTATCTATGGTGGTTGCTGGAGGATAACATTGCAGCAGTAACGGTAACGATTGCTTTATTAGTCTCCCCTAATTTACCTTAAACAGCTTCACGGAGTAGTTTAACTCCATCTGATTTGTTGGCTAAACTGCAAAACTTCCAACTAAAAACTGCTTCGTTCACATCTAAACGGAGTTAAAAGGTGCCACACTTTGTGAACCTGACTGAAACTGGGAATTAACCCTCCGTCCTTCGTACCTGGCCCAGGGCTTGGCCGCAGAGGGGGGCTGCATTTTTCACCACAGTGGGGGCTGGCTGGGACTCGGACACAACTCACTACACAAACCAGACTCCGTACGACAGGGTTCCTGATCTGTTGGGGTTGAGGAGCTGCTGCATCTGTGTGCAGCCTGCTCCGTGGCCATATGGCACGTTACAGCTGCAGTCCCGAGGACGAGGCCAGGGAATGCTGGAGTCCCGCCAGCAGGTCTCTGCCGAGAACAGGAAATTGGCAGGAAAAGTTTCCAGACGACCTGGGAAGTGGGACAGTCTGTGCCTTGGAGGGTGTCAGAAAGCCGTGAGTGAGACTAGTGTTTCTGGCTGCAGCAGCGACAGCAGGTTATATGGTCAGTGGGAATCCTGAAACCGTACAGGAATGCTGGATATCCAGCTAGGCCGCTCACTTCCTCAGTGCTGTTGTCCAGTGCTGTGTATTCACTCCAGCAGTATCGCCAGACCCGCTGCCTGAAGTACGCAGGTCTTTCACTGCAGGCCTGGGAAAAGACCCGCAGGATGTGTGCGCAGGGAAGGACACGCACACCAAAGGAAACGTGGAGGCCACAGTCAGCTGCACGAAGGAGCGGAGTTAAAGTGTGCTGGTGAAAGGCTGTCGCAGTGAAACTGTCTGGATTTCAGTCAGCCTGGAAGCGTTGGATTGTCCCTGAGTTAGTCAAATACTAACTTCATTAGTCAAACTTGACGAGTATTTTCTGTCAGGGATAGGGACAGGAGTTCTCTGGGGATACCCCCGGGGCATCTGTTCTGAACAGTCTGCATATTCCCAAGGGCATCTCTAATGGGATAAACGTAGAGGAGTCCAGGATTCATCTTGGCTGTGGCTAGTGCGTGGTGTCAGTCCGTTTCAACCTCTTGTAAGTGAACTAAAGCTGAGGTGGTGTTGCCTTTTCCTTTCCGGCCGCTCAGGTCAATCGGACGTACTGCTGTGGCACCTACAGAGCAGGACCGATGCGGCAGATCAGCCTTGTTGGAGCAGTGGATGAAGAAGTTGGGGACTACTTCCCGGAATTTCTAGACATGTTAGAAGAATCTCCGTTTCTCAGAGTAAGCAGTAACCTGTGCTGTTTTGTTTAGTGCGCTCTAGATATTTCAACTATTATTTTTATGTATTGCCAAGTAATTGGAAACCCTGTTTTCTCTTGTTGATGTGCTGATCGTTTGGGCTCCTGAGGTATGTGCTTTCCTGTGGCCAGATGAAAGGCGCTCAATTAGGTAGCTGCAGTTGTGTGAATAATTAAAAACTAAAATATAGTTTATCACATAGATGCACTGCATAACCACCTGCTTCCCTGTAAACTACGTTTGATAAGTGAGCTTGGAGTGTGTTTCACCTCTCGAGTGTCCGTTAGTCTCTGATCGATTCTTTTGACAGCGAACGTGAACCAGTTTTACCAAAGGCATTGTTTAATTTTTCTATCTCACCCAGTGTTCTGTGTTATGTGTGTGTTGTGGGTTGTTTTGGTTTTGTTTTTTAGATGACTCTGCCCTGGGGTACTCTTTCTAGTCTCAGACTGCAGTGCAGGTCGCAAAGTGACGATGGTCCCATCATGTGGGTGAGGCCGGGAGAGCAGATGATCCCAACAGCTGATATGCCAAAATCACCATTCAAGCGGCGCCGGTAATGTTTTGCTTTCCTTTCCATATTAAAGGTAAAACATTGCAGTCACGTCTGTGTTGGATTTGACAGCAAAACCTAAATGCTTCATGTGTAACTTGTCCGTCAGAGGGCTAATTCACAGATTTCAGTTTCATTTAATTTCTGTTTCAGACTGACAAACACCTTGTTTGTGATGACTGCTTTATTTCACTGCTTCTTGCAGTAGTATGTTCTAGATCAATGCTTGAAATCCCTTTTTTTTTTTTTATTATCCTTCAGGAGGCTTTTTATTCACCTTATTTCAAACTACTGGCGAGTGAAATGCTCTGAACCGGCAGATACCCTTACGGTGTTCCTGCCGCGGTTCAGTGTTGGTGCTGCAGCGCTGTAACGCTGCCTGCCTTCCTAGGAAACGCTGTGGTGAACGTGCTTGCCATCCTCCTCGGTGTGCTACCGAGCAGCTTTTGGGAGATAAAGAACTAGAAGCGTATTTTAATTGTAACGTCAAGCAGAACTTTTGGACGTACTCCCAAATGACCTCAGTGACTATTAAAATAGCACTGTTTTGCATAATGTTAAATTCCAGGAAGAATTCTTTCAGCACAGAGGACAAATATTTTTATGGTGATTGGATTGGTTTTGTGAGGTTTGAGCTCAACCTGAATTGTGCTTTGCTGTATTGATTGCAATCTCTTGTTGAATAAGCACCTAGAAGAAGTTGGAGGGAAGTGCTTTGGCCTTTGATTTTGAAGCCTGCAGCGGACTAGCAGTTTAAGATGATTTTAATACAAGTATCTTCAGTCTGAAACATTTCTTGGTGTGTCTTTTTATCCTCTTATAGGTCAATGAATGAAATAAAGAATCTCCAGTACCTACCTCGGACCAGCGAGCCCCGTGAGGTTCTGTTTGAAGACAGAACAAGAGCTCACGCTGATCACGTGGGTCAGGGGTTTGACTGGCAGAGTACAGCTGCTGTGGGCGTGCTGAAGGCTGTACAGTTTGGGGAATGGTGAGTGCCACTGAAATGCAACTGTTAAAGTAGGGGAGAGTCGTTCTAAACGTTTTCCCTCTTAAAAAAAAAGCCCTTGGGAAACAAGCCCAATCTAAGAAATGGTTTAAACGCTGATTCTGAACGTTTTCCCTCTTAAAAAAAGAAAAGCCCTTGGGAAACAAGCCTAATCTAAGAAATGGTTTAAACGCTGTGATGAGATAAATGCCGCCTAGAGCTTGGAAAACACAAGCAACCCACCTACTATTTTTCCCTCTTCCTGAGGTCGTAGAAAAGTTCTAACAGCAGTTAGCAGAGAACTTTAGTGACATACAGAACAAGCCATAAGATGCCATGCCTGGACTGTCACCTGGGATTCTTCTCCTGAACAGATATATTGATGGTAACTTCCGTACCGTCATCCAAGAACTCAGTGTAATGAGCTTCACCGCTACAGTGCTGTCTCATCTGGTGTGCCCAGGACATCGCTGTTGACCTTGCACAGAAACTGGTCTTGCGTTGTTGCTATCTCTAGCAATTGCAGTAGAGATTGGATAGCATCGTTAGCAGTATCATTAGATTTTCCTATGAGTTATAGGTGCCAGAACTTCCTTTGCTCTGATTCACAGCTACTCGTTGCTTCGGCTTCAGAATTACTCTACTTCAGTTTTTCCTTTAATGCAGAATTAGTCTAATTATAGAATGGAAGAATTGAGGTAAATTCTGGTTCCTAGAACATGCAGAACTTTGATACTGGCAATTTGAACCTCGTTCTTGGACATTTCAGTACAGTATTTATCCACAAAAAGATCACTTGTGCATGCATCAAGAAAGATGTAAAATGGGAAAAAGACAACTATGAATTATACCTCCTTTTCAAAGTACCTGTATCGAGAAGTGATGAGACTGGGTGCACAGTGTAAACTGAAGTAGGCCATTGCTTCAGTGACACTTTCTGCTGGAAAGAGCTGTAATTCTCGAATTCCAATTCTTAAATTCTTGGTATTCTCCTCTTTTCCTAGGAGTGACCAGCCTCGTATAACCAAAGATGTGGTCTGTTTTCATGCTGAAGACTTCACGGACGTTGTGCAGAGGCTTCAGCTGGACCTGCATGAACCTCCGGTGTCACAGGTATTGGATCTTCCCTAGTGACAGCTTGTGCTTAGCACTTTTGGCAGCAGCTTCTGACAGTGTTCAGGTCTGCGGTGTAGCCAGCCCTGCTGTATCCTGGGGAACCCTCAGTTCACAGCTCCGGCGATTTCCCTTATCGTGCTTCAGAACAGAACAGTTCAGTGGGAAAGGACTTACAGCGATTACCTAGTACGACTGCTTTTCCTTTCCACCGAGCTGGGGTTTAGGAGTTGATTAAGGAGTCATGTAGGCCTGGTTTTGGTTTTTCTCATACGCTGTTGTCTTAGGATGTGGAGGCACCTAAACTCAGTCCTGTCAGGCAAGACAGTGCAGCTTCACGTCGGAGCTCCTGTTTCCAACTCTAACTGCAGTGCTCTGAGCTGTTTGCTGTCCTCCAACGTGTACCTTAGAGAAATTGTGTTTTAAAAGTCTAATTCTCATTTAAATTTGAGGTTTTACCTGCTAAACATTGATTTAGACAGGAAATACATTGAAAATAGGTGGATACTGAATTACTTGGAGTGTATACCACTAACTTTACCATCTTTCCTTCTCTCAGTGTGTTCAATGGGTGGATGAAGCCAAACTAAACCAAATGAGACGGGAAGGCATTCGCTATGCTAGAATTCAGTTGTGTGACAATGACATCTACTTCATCCCTAGAAATGTCATTCATCAGTTCAAAACCGTGTCAGCAGTCTGCAGCTTAGCCTGGCACATAAGACTTAAACAATACCACCCCGTGGGGGAGACTTCTCAGACCGCAGACAGCAATTCAAGCTCGAACAGTAGTGTTCCTGGAAAGAGAGAGGCAGAAGGCCAGCCCCCGTGTGCGAGTGTCAAACTAGAGTCTGAAGAACCAGGTGTAGAAACGCAGCTTACAGCAGGGGCGCTCGCCTCCTCTGCTGCTTCGCTATCAGGACTTGTACAAGCAGATCAGGTGGCCCAGCCCCTTCCAGGTTTGAAAGTAGAGTCTGATCAGCACCACGGCCCGCAGGATCATACAGGCTCTTCTGTCTGATATGTATATAAGCAAATGTTTTTTAACAACTTTTTAAAATTTTGATGTGAAGTTATAGTTTTATAACTGGCTTATGTTTTATTGGAGAAATCTTGCCTATAATTCTATAGAGAAAGGTGACATTCCAAAAATGTCAAGCATATCTTTTTTACACAGATTATGCAAAATCCAAGTTGTATTTTAACCCCTTAGTACAACCTGTACCAGTGGTCTACCACTTCTTTCTGTTTAAGTGAAGAGATATTTAATATCTCCAAGTCAGAATCAAATTCCTCCAGGAACATAAAACGATTGAACTGTATTGGTCGGTGTTACTTCCCTGCTTTTATCTCTAATCTTCACCAGAAAGCGATGCTTTTGTAGAAGACTTGCAAAGTGACTTTCCCATCTTGTTTTAATTGCTAAAAAAAAAAAAAGCAGCAAGCACAGCACTTTTGATGATTTGTGAAACCTTTGGTATGTCTGTTCTTGACACGCTGGTTTATATACAAGTTGGGTTTGTATACAAGCTATAGACATTGATCTCCCTGCAGTTCCTACAAAGGTGACCTGTAAAATTAACTGGAGCAAGTGTCTGATCCTGTTGAAATGCAACGACTTACTGACCTAACACTTCCCATAGCACTGCTTACATTGTTTGGTGTGAGGGTTTTGCTTCCAAAATACATCTGCCCTGAACATGGTTAATACTCGTGTCCAAGCTAGAGAACCTGTTGGTAGTCTTGTGGAGGAAACTGCTATCTTTGAGCACTTTAAGGCTATTTTAAAATACTAACCGACTCGGCAGCTCGTTTTGATCCGGCCATAACGTGTCCAAGGAGCCACACTTCCCTTGTACTGATGCACTTATAGAATAGCGCTGAGCTGCTACCTGACTCGCACAGTAAGGCTGTCCTTGTTCTAGGAAGTTCTGTATTACTGTTTCACAATAAAAAGTATTATGGCATCGGACTGCTGTTTCCATGTGTAGCTTCTGGGTGCCCAGGTACTGTGGAAGAATCAGTGGCACGTGCTAGCGCTGTAGAGTGTCAGCTATCGGCAGTTTTTAAACAGTATTTCTGGATGTTAACGTGTAGCCTGTATTTGACTTTCACTCGCCCCCGTTACTGCTGCCCTTTCCAGTCATCAAAAGGAGAAGTCCTGTCCGTCTCTCCTGTCCCCCTCCCCACATTTAGAGTACAAGATGGGTTTTGATGCAACTTAAGCTGTCTCCAGACAACCTTGTTTGTTCTGATCCTCGCTGGGGTAGGAAAGATTTGAAACACTATGTTAGACTAGACAAAAGCAAAGATGCTGTGTTAGTTCTGGATGCATCTTTTTAATGTCAATTATTACTCTTCTCTTTATAAGGGTCTCTAAAATATGTTACTCTATTATAAATCTTACTTTGTGCAATATTGTTTGTGTAGGCTTTTATATACATATTAGCACCTCAGTGTAGAGGTCACTATTTTAAACTGATAGAAAAATAATCCTCAGAAGATACTGCAGTGATTAGTTAGAACCTGTATTACTCCTTCTGTGTATGTATGTATTGTCTTCGGTACAAAAATGAGGACTAGGAAATATTTCAATTTAAAACTAATTTACAGATTGAAGTGGTAGTGACTTGTTTAGTAATCTGTGTAAATAAGGTGTTAGAATGGAAAGCTTTTATGATGGAAAGTAATGTGATTCATGCAGGGGTGTAATTTTAATCTTAGCAGAAATTCTAGATGACCCAGACCGGTCCGTAAATGAGCCGTCTGTTCTCTGGTGGGTTTTTTCTACTCTTTACGTTGAGAGGAATTCCATAGCTTTAAGGGTTGTGCAAAGTAAAATTCCTCACAGGCAATAGTGGTTTCAGTTCATCCTTCACATTCAAAGATCGTATTCCCCAAGGCTGTTCCTTCTTACGAAGTCTGCTAGTCTTCCAAGTGCCCGTGTCGCTTCCACGTGTGCGATTCTTGGGTCGTGTCCATAGAGGGAGAGCGATACAGCCGGCACTGCGTATCCCCTCAGGAATTGACAGCTCGGCAGACGCCGCCACGGGTCTGCACGCGTTCCTGTAAAGGCAGGACGGACCGACCGGGAGCCCCCGTAGGCCAGCTTGTCTGTTCTGTAGTGAAAGCTGGAGGAGAAGGAAGAGGGGATAGGTTTGGAAGTCCTTGTGAATTCTGGTAGCGTTTTTTCAGCTGGAGGGAGGACGACGAGCGGAGTGGTGCGTGTTGCTTTCACACGGTAGCGTTGGAGACATCTGAAATCCCAGGGAGATGCTCCAACTTAGCTCTGGACGGAGGGACACGAGGACAGGATCATGCTCTCCGTGCTGTTCAGTTAGTAACGCGGTATCTAGTGTCAGATGTAAATACAGAGATGTGTCCTCAGATGACCTGAGCTGGCTGCTGCTGTTCTGGCGTGCTCGGGAGATCGAGGAGAGGAGCAAACTTGATCAAAATCTACCACCCCGGTACCTTCGCGGCTTTGGTACGATTTCACCAAAGTGACGAACCGCTTTCCCAGCCCACGTGGCGTAACGTGGGAGAGGGACTGCTTATGGAGCTGGTGGCTGTGCTGGCCAGCTGCTGCTTCAAGGTCACTCCGATCGCACCGAGAACGGGGACAGGATTAGGACAGCGCCTTGATGCGGAAGATGCAAACGCTTCCCAGACAAGAGATGAGGAACGCTGGCTTTTGTAGGCTGTAGCTGTTCAGGAATGAAGTGACGAGCTCAAGCCGCTTAGCGCTCGCTGTGCAAGGCGGATCTCCGGGTAAATCCGCCAGACTCGTGTTAAAGAGCTGGCTGTTGGAATTTCTCTGCGGGACTCTTAAAGCAGCCTGTGTCCCAAGAGGCTCACTTTGGCAAGTGTCATGGGCGGTTCTGACAGTTCCCAGCGGTGCCCAGGTAGATACGGAGCCGTCCGTAACGCTGAACGCACTGGTCAGCCGCCGCGGCTCCTCGGCTCTCCCCGCGCTGCGGCGGTTGAGGAGAAGAGGCTCTGCGCTGCAGACAGCCGCCCGCCGGGCGCGCCAGCGGGAACGCGGCCTTCCGTCTTAAGGGAAGTGCTGTGGATGAAGAAGGTCCCTTGGGCTGAAGGCCCAACCAAGCTCAGTTGTGCTAGAAGTGGGCGAGCAAAAGGCGACGTGAAGGTGAAACGTCAGCTGGCGTCAGTTCCTCCCTCCCGTGTACGTGCCACGAGCCGTTCGTGCA